GGGGGTTGACAGAAAATAACTGAAGAATAAATTACAGTTTTTAGATTCTTCTTTAGTTGTTTTTGTTTTACAGCTCTAACCCACATAATATGTGAGCTTTTTTTTAGGAATGTCAATCTCTTGCACGGCTGCTAGTTGTATAAGATGTGAGCKATTAATCAGCTTTCAGCCACAAAAACAGCATTCCTGATCTTAAAAGTTAAAAAACTGCCACAGCTTCTCTGACRTCTGTTTCATTTCAGCTGGAGCAGAACCACAACACTGACGGGATGTTTTGCTGTGTTTAGCAGCTACATATTACGCCGGATCAGAGGCATTTAARGACCTGGAGTTTGGTATTTTTGTCATGTTTTAAAACAGAGAGTCYCCTGAGCTGCAAAGATCTGCTGTAACTACCTTTACTAACCCTTTAACTGGCATTTTTTCCTTACAATGTGTAACAAGTTGTCCATTTTATTCAAGAACAGGATGTTCAGAAGTGCAAACGTCCTATCCTGCCTTTGATAAACTGCTGCCTTTTAAAAAAAATTATCTGATAAACTGAAATAGCGGCTGAAATTTAGAATTTGAGGAATCAGCTATAAGGGCCACATCTGATCCACGGTGCCGAGCCTCAGCARGGCAAAAGAAAAAAGTTTTTAAAAAAAGAGGCAAGATGGTTGTAAGGAGCTGTTATCAACATGCCGACTCCTCCAAGGGGTCTTTCAGAAATAAAAAAAGGAGCATGTTCCGACACGAGCGGCATTCCAGATCACAGCTCCAGATTTACTGCCTCGCTGTCTTCTTCCASCGTCACACTCTTTCACAGGAGCAACAGCTTCCAAAACAAACAGCAGACTGGATTTAATGAGGCACATTTCATTGTTTTGTGTGTATGTGTTTTTTAATACTGTCAAATCGGGGACTTTTATTAGAGCTAGTCAATGTTTTCCTCATCTGAYTCTGGTTGAAGAGTATTGCACAGTGGCATATTCAGATTAATGAAAATCAGACAAYGGAATGTCTCGGACAACTTTCCTTGAAAAGTTACCCTTTGTAGCCAAATAACAAAACACAACAAGTGTTAAGGTGCAGATG